TTAGTTCGTGTTCGACTCGTTAACTTATCGAACAAAATTAACGAGCCGAACACGAGCTGTTCACAAACAACGAGCCATTTTGACAGCCCTACTCGCACACTCTCTATATATATATATGTATATATAAGAAATAAGAAGAAAATATCCAAAAATTAATATAATGGCCACAACATATACGTCCTTCCGCAAAAACCGTTAGGTCCCACAATTTCCTCAAGTTTCAAGCATAAAGAAGTAACGCCGAATTCTAACGGAGACCGACAAATTTCCGTCCACATACACGTCAGCCCCGCACCCCCTTTTCTTTATACAGAAAAGGAATTCCACATAATTAATTAATTATCTTCAACAATAATTTAAAAAAAAAACCAAGCCCCTTTCTAGCCCAGTCACGTGACAACAGCTCTCAACTCACGTGCGCTCCGTCGCTATCTTCCTCTCCGCCGCCGGCCCGCCGGTCGCGTGCAGTATACCACCCATGGCTTCCGCTCCGACACCTCCACCGCAGGCGAAGCGGGCGGCGCCGGAAACCTCAGTTGATAAGATTCTAGTTCAAACGGTTCCAACTTCACCACCGGTGACGGCAACGGGGCCGGCAACTCATCGTCATCCTCGACTTCCCGGCATCTCTTCTGGCCAATCGAAACTCCAAATATCATCGGATTCGGGTCGAAATTCCAGGCCGAGGATCCCGCACCGGAGGACGATGGAGGCGGCGGCGGCGGCGGCGAGGATGACTCAGTCTTCACGCCGACCTCCTCCGCCTCCTCCGCCTCCTCCGCCTCATCCGACAACTGCCTCGCCGGCATCAGCTCCAGCGCCTCCGGTGTAGGACCGGCGTACTTCGACATCAAGAGAAAGATGTTATTGCACAGATTTTTCATCTTAGATAGCTCGTGAGCAAGCTTACGGTTCTCCTTCCTCAGCCTCTCGTTCTCCTCCACCAACTCCGTCATACTTCCCGGCGGCGGCGGCGATGAGTTTGACGATATCACCTGCTCACCCTGCTCCTCCACCGAGTTCGTCGGCGATACTGTTCTGTTCACCGGCACCGCCACCGGCGGCGGAAC